TCATATTTTGTTAGGCTATGAGGTTCTGAACTAAATAAATAGATTTCAACGCATTTTCAGAAAAGGTATTCCAGGGAAAAAGCATTGGTTGGAATTATGTGTGCTGTTATAATTTCTATCCCAAAAGAAAAGGCCTGGAAGAGGACAAATGGAACTGTTGAGGTTCTTGCTCTGTTCCCCCCTCCCCACCCTGAGAATGTTGTAAATGCCTGATCAAACTATCTGAGGATGTGTTATTTTCTGTCTGTATCTAGAAACACAGGATAAACAATGGGGCTTCTCCCATTAGTACATTTCTTTATCCCTCTTTAGAAGGGATTGTTTTTTATCTAGTGAGTCTGTGAGAGTCTGACATTGGATGACTTTATAAAACATTCTACTAATTGGATTTGTTAAAATAAATAAATCAAACACTAATTGGAACGTGCCCTGCCATTATTTTTGCTTACTGAATTAGATATAATGGCGTGAAGTCCTTTTTATCATATTTGTGCACTTATTTAAACACCCCCCTGGCGCACACTTCTGCAAATTCAATTATATATTCAAAGGAGGCATTCAATTTATGCAAGGCTGGTTTACATTTAATCCGGGGGCAAGACTCAGTAACTGATGATAGGTCTGCTCAAGATTAATTAGCATCACTCAGATGAGCAGTGGCATTGTTACAAGCCTGCAGTGTAAAACAAGGGATATTTTATCTGTCCTGTGTGAGCTGTTATTTGCTTCAATATGACCCTTTTCAGGGAGGGAACGACTTCATCCTTGTTTGGCTTTCATTTTGTGAAAAGAGATGGTCAACACCGCATGCATTATCTTAGCAGTATCAGAGCCATCTCAATTTCCTTTCCTCTTCCCCTACTTAGCAATGGTATTCTTCACTTAATTTTTAGCTGATTAATGGAAAGATTCTAGTTTGCATCCTGAAATCCTTAGCCCTCTTAATAATTAACGAACGCACCAAAACTCCATTTTGGTTGGCATGCAAATGCTTTACTTTTCCTCTAAGCTGCTTTGTGATGCTGTGGATAGAACTGTGACGTGCAAACCTAGTATCTAAATTTACAGCCTGATATCTTTTATTGTGAATTATTTTCTCTCTGTTAATGAATATCCCTGTTCTGTGTCAAGCAGTTATGTTTCAGCGATGGATGATTTTGTATTAAGATGGACCTTATCTTTGTGGTTTTTCTTCCCTTGTTATGTTCCTGCATAGCTGAAGCTTTTAGGTATCCATATATGTGATGTCTTAGGAAACAGTAAATATTAAGCTTGTGCTGCTATTTGTGAAAGGAACTCATCTGCAGGTTTTAGCTTGCTGTACTGTTTTGGAGTCATCGCTATCCTTACTAGAGCGGGTATTTACAGTCCCATAATTACATTTTTGTTTAGAATGAAATTAATTAGTGGGGAGCAATTGAATTTCCAAGGATCTGGCGGCAAGGTGCTCGTGTGGCAGAGGGGATGGCTCCATCCTAGCACGTTAGCACCTGTGCAAGAGCAGTTAAACAGCACACATGCCTTCAGCTTGCTTGGGAGCTTATGGTCCACACACTCACACACACACACACACTTGTGTGTACTCAGACCCTGATGCAGCCTGGGCAGGGTGCCACAGGCAGCAGGGTGCTGCTGAGTGCTGGTGGCACAGACGGGTCTGCAACTGCCCAAAACAGCTTCAGGGAGGTGAGGGGAATGCTCCCATTTGACCTGGGGGCCATACGTATGGTTTAAAGCAGAGTTTGGTGCTTAAAAGATCAGCAGTGGGTGTCTGGCAGCGGGGCACCTCTGGGAGGAGAAGGCAGGGCTGTGCTGGGCTGGGCACGGTTGCTTCTGCAGGGCACAGATTGTTGGAGAAAGGGCAAAAACGTGAGAAACAGTGCTGTGCACACCAGGGTCAGTAGAGAAGAAGAGCACGAGTGGATGTTGGATTTCTCAGGTAGAGCAGGGTGGGGTATGGAAGGCTGCTTTTGGTTGCCTGTTGCAGCCTCGTTGCATTGCCATGTTTGTCTTCTGCGAACTAAGGCCATCAGCAACATGTATTGTAGATATGAGCAAAAAGCGCATAAAATTCTGCAGTATTTCAAGTTGTGTGATTCTTTGCCTGCACTTACTGAAGTCTTTCCTGTTTAAAAATATGGTATATGCCGTATTTTAATGGTGATAACAGAGTTGATGGCTTTCTTGCTCACAAGCGATCATGGCTGTGTCCCACCTGGGTCCACTCTTAGTTCTTGTCTCTTCTGTCACTCTCTAGCAAAAAGCTGACAGGTGCTTTCCTCTCCGTGATCACCCAGACTGAGCCATTCTGTGCTCCCTGAGCAGCCACTGCTTATCCAAGCCTTGAGAATCGACTCCAATGTTTTTTTCCCTCTCCTCATTTCCTGCAAATTCGCCTCTCCAAATTCCAATTCTGTTGCTTCCAGTAAATTAATCCATCTGGTTTATTGCCTTGTCACTTTGCATTTGGTGGTTCCTACTCTAACTTTTCTTTCTTTAGAAATGTAGATGTGTTGCAGCTGCTTTTAAGGCTCTCCACAGTTTATCCTTTCTTATCCAATCTTACTACAAGGGTTAGTCTTGAATGTCACACAAGACGCTTTCAAGCTTCCTAAGGTGTTGTCTCTTATCAGTGGAAACTCCCAATTAATTTCTGGAAGCTCTCACTACCCTTGTTCAGCTTGTTCTCCAACTTCACCTGCCTCTGCGTACATAAAACAACCTATTCAGCTAATTGTATCTATACATCAGCAACTACATTCCCTGTTAAATAAGGACTGCTACCCTGTGTTTTGTTGTCGTCTCATTTTGCTTCTGAGACTTTATATCAGCACCTGCGTAATTTTCTCTGTACACGAGTCCTCATGCAATTGTCTGGCTTGATCAGAGTATTTATTTCCAAGAAGTAGCTGAGAGACAGCACCGCTTGTTGTGCTCTGTAGTGTGCTGTAGAGAGGTGGTGTGTAAATGGAATACGTCTGAAGTCCTCCTGCTAGAGTGAATCTATCAAGACTAGAATGCCCTGCGTGGAGACTGAGAGCAGAGTATTTGATATCATCTCTTGTAGCAGCTCACTACGAAAAAGGTGACTTTCAGTTGCATTGCATGCTCCTCACAGGCAATCCAGAACACCTGTTTTTCGTTAGACATTTTAATGAGCACATTTAATATTTTAAACTTGAACTCTTTCACCTAAATCAAATTAAAACTTTAGGGAAACAGCTGAAGTGTAGTCCTGCTCATTTTGACAGCTCTGAAAGCCTCACGAGCGCTGCAAATTTAAAGCAAAAAATACTTTTAAAATTTGTAGAAAATACATTTGCAAGGTCTCTATTGAAGCAGGCAAGGCTGGCAGGGTCATGAAATCTGCTGTACTCAGAACTGTTTATACTAAAATTACACAGCATAACAATATTTTCTTTTAGGACAAGCTTTATCTTTAAATTTTTCTTTAACAGCACCGAGTATGGTCAGGTACTCTATCCAACAAATCCTTCAAGCTTATATGCTTAAATAGGAATAATTTGTGTGAAGTTTCACGGGAATTTTTAGAAAACCAGTTGTGGTTGGAATGCACATTAAATCCTTGAACAGAATAGGGTTTTGTGAGGAATTTCATAGGAACTGAGATGGGTTTGGGTTTTGTTGGGAGCCAGAGAGAAAAGATATACACAAAAACTAAAGAATGCCTAAACGATCCACTGTTGGATAACTGTTATTGAATGGAAACCACTTGTGTACTTGCTATTTATTGTGCATGTGTAGAGAATTCAGCCTGTGGGAAGGTAAAGAGCCGGGAACGTCTCTCTGCATATAACTCTGATTCGTGTCAGGAGCAATTGGCAGTTTGGCTGGAAAGGCAAGATCATGTAGCCCTGAGCACTGCTCAGTCCTTGCAGCTCCAGAAGTGTTAGATATGTCCAGCTGACTTTGGAGTACTAGTAACTGCAGAGAAATTTCTCCTTGCTTCTGTAAGAGAAAACAAAAGCAGGGCAGTGACACTGTTGTCATAATTAAGGTCAAAACCCAAGCACTCAATCTACTTGATGTAACAAATCCAGTACTGCAATATGTTTGGCAAACCAAGTTGGGTGGATGTGAGGAATGAGGCAATGGAAGAGTGGTTCAGCAGTGTAGTAACAATCTACTAACACTAAATGAAGGCTAAACTAGTTGAATGGGTTTGCCTCACACATGTCCATATTGAGATATATTTTTTTCTTGATTCATAAGTGTTCAGACAGCTGCCAGGTGATAGTTAATCACTTTCAAGTATTTCAGGAATTGCAGTAGGAAAGATCACTGGAAGGTGTGAATGTTAGTTTCCATCCACTTCTTGTTGTTCTCCTTTTGTAGAGAAATTAAAGGCTTGCGCTCAGAGGTCCAGTTCTGATAAACCTGGAGAAGTAGATACGTGTCACATAGAACTTTGTGGTTATTAAGCATAAGAGATGGTTGCAAGGAAGGATGTGCCTTCTATAGGTGCAACCCAACCCAGTGTGATTTGAATCTTAAAAGTGAAATCAAGCAAGTATCGCTGTAGTATAGTGATACTTTGCTTGTCTTTGCCATTTGGGTTCTTTCTCCCTCTTTTTTTTTTTTTTTTAAATATCTGACCTAGAGGTTTCTGTAAATATCAGCACTGGGACCCAAATGCACGTGCTTATTATGTGCAATTGTCTGTGAAAATGTTAAGCAAATAGGTTGAAACAAAGGGAGCTGATAGAGGAGAAGAGTAGCAATGAGAGAAGAAAGACTTCTAAGAGATACAGAAAGTTGAAAATTCAAACTATTTTCTGGATATCTTCTCTGCTCTCTGAAATATAATATGCAGGATTTTTTTTTTTCCAAGTTCCTCTGTAAACCTAGGAAAGAGAAATTAAATGATTTTAGTATAATGATTATATGTAATTAATGCAGGAATGCATGCATTTTTCTTGTTTCTAGGTGGTTGCTCCTTTGATGAGCACTACAGTAATTGTGGTTATAGTGTGGCCTTGGGAACCAATGGATTTACCTGGGAGCAGATCAATACCTGGGAAAAGCCAACGATGGATCCTGCAGTCCCAACTGGTAAGTAAGAAGCCTCTGCAGCAGCGGAGGTATTACTCTTTGTGAGGATCAGCTGTTAGCCCTGTACGGATTACTGGCATACATTGTGAACATATAATAATACTGTAGTCTTTTCAGCATTCTCTGAAGAGCTCACAGTAATGAAAATTTCCAATGGTTTTATTTCTTACTGGAAATTAACATTATATTGTTGGTGTATATATGGCATAGATTCTACGGAATGCTTCGTTCACCTTGAGGAAAAGCACGTTTTAAGAAAAGGCACTAAATTTTTCTAAAAGCCATAGGTTGTGCTTTTTGGCAATTGAAATAGCTGAAGGCCCTGCTCTAAAGCAATTGACACAATGGCAAACAGAACTGGCCAGCCAACTTGACTGCAGTCATGAAGTATTTGTTCCAGTTAATTGATTGCACTCTGACAAGCATGAACTACTTGGCAGAATTAACATCTTGTGTTGTTGCAGGGGTATTTTTATGCATGTAAATTATTGGGCTAAGAAACGTGAAATTGCTAGGTGCCTGTTAAGGGAAGCAGGCAGAGCTGATGTAACAATAGTTTCCTGCTGTAGCCATGGATAGACAGGCTAGTGTTCGTCCCTGCATGTTAAATCTGTTAATAGAAACAAAACCACAAGATAGCTGCTTGTTTGTTTGTTTGTTTTAATTACAGCCTAAATTGGAAGCTGTTAGTGACAGAATCTTTCAAAGTGTGACACGTGGGACTACTTGTTTTGGCTCTGGTATCCCAAAAGCTAATTCTGAAAGTTACTTCTCTGGTCTTGTCTGTATGAATGCATTTCATCATTCTGAATGTGTTGACTTTTTCATAAGGGCAGTTTTATTTCTACAGCTCCTCAGCTTCAGTTCTTGTGTGTCACACTCCCTGTTCGTAGTAGACCTAACTAGAGAGACATGGCAGATATTTGAATTTACAGATCTCAGAATGATCTGAAGGAATAAGAACGTAGATAGCTGTGATGCCATCTGGAAGGCAAGGAATTAATGGGAGGGCTTGTACTGGAAAAGTTCAGTACTTTGCTAACTCTGAATGTGAAGGAAAATCTATCTTCCTGCCTTCCATCTGAAAGTGTTTTATCATCTGAAGATGCTGGATCTGTGGAGAAATTGATAGACAATCAACGGCCTGGAATGGCAAACAAACCCCAGAATAATACAGCGTGTTTCTTAACAAGGCTTTCAGAATTGTTCTTCCCAAAACAAAGTAGATAGAGATATGTATGGTCCTTTCTCTTAATGCTGTGTTCCGTGTTATCAGGTAGCACTAATAGCTAGATCTATAAAGGTTGGAGCAGCTGCAAAGTAAACGGCATCAACAACAAAAAAAGCAACATAAAAGTGCAGAAATCTGAGTTGTATTAATTATATGTATATATTATTATATTGTATATGGAAGAGGAAAGATTCTAACAACTTGTAGTGTGCTGATGATGAAATATTATTTAAAGAGACCTTAAGGAGTATGAGGGGGAATGATAAAGTGCTTTGCTTTACTAATTGATGTCTCAGTACTAGTCACAGAGAACAGAAGGTCAAATCATTAGGTTGGAAAAGAAGGCTGACCACAGCAAATGTGTACAGAACACATTTCTCCAGTAACAAAAATATGTTTTCAAAAGCTGTCCAAATGATGCTAACCTTGAGGTAAATTATGGTGTTCAATTAAACTGCCTCATGCTTGCGGAGATGCTAGAGCTATTATTGGGAGTCTGTATTGCTGGATGGAATCTTAATGCATGTGTTTTTTGGTTACTCACTGAGAGTCTGTTTTGTGAGAATAAAGGATTACTTAAAATTCATCTAGTGGCAAAGCCAGCCAAATAAACTGATGAAACAGTTCCACTCCTACAATCAGAGACATCTTTAGAGCCAGAGTACTAGAACATTTGGTGACTGACTTTCTAATCCATTTAGTTTTTCCAAAGCAGCTGAAGCAGCATGGTGCAAATCCATCGGGTTGCAAGGGTGTCAGAGGTGGTAAAAGTGTTTGGAATAAGCAACTTCCAACTTCTGGTGGCCAACTGTAGGCAGGAAATCACTTTTAGCATGGGCAGAAGCACAGGGGCGCAAGAATGCATAGAGGTCTGAGGATGCAAGCAGTAATGCGTGTTTTCTTGAACAGGATGCTGTTTTAGACACTACACAGTTCTTGTGTGACTGGAATCAGATTAAAATACTGTATTGTGAAAATGGTAAAATGTGTGAGCAGGCATTAAATTGGTTCCATGATCCTGAATAAGTCTGCAGCGCAACCTGCTGGGAAATGTTGGCAGGAAAGTGTGGCCTCACCCCATCCTGGTCAGCCCACATTAACGTTACTGTCAGAGCTATTTCCTTGTTTAAAATGTCAGCTTTCATAAGCACCAGCAGGTCCCTTTGAATTCAACCAAGCCACAGAATTCCATCCTCCTGAATACTAATGATAACATCTAGTGCTTTTTACAGTCCTTTTCGTCGTTAGGTCTCAGAGTGCTCTTCAGAGGAGGTCAGTATCATGAATGAGAGCCTGAGTTTGTAGTACTGTGTAATTCTCTGCTGAGACACTGCTGCAAAGGTCTCTGCTCAGGGATGGCTTCCTATTTTTATTTTTATTTATATATATATTTTTGGAATTAAAATGCACTCCTCAAAGGGAAAAAAAAAACCAAAAACGCACAATTAAACTGCTCTATTAGCCATGTAAAAGTTTGTAGGCAATTTGTTTTACACCATTGCTAGCAAATAAACTGTTTTTCATGAATTTTGTGGTTAATTCCTTCGGGCTGGAAACTGTGTTAATTGGGGGATTAAGAAACAGATGTTTGTTGTTTCAAATAAATGTTTCAGAAACCTGAAATAAATGAATTGTAGGTATCCAATGCCCAGACTTTGGTGCAACTCTTTCCACCTCCTTGCATGATAGCAGGAGCGATTATAACAGAATATTCCATAACAGATGGGTGTTTACTTAAGCCTGAATTATCCTCAGTGATGAGTATTCTACAGCCTCTGGGCTACTTGTTCCACTCTTTGAGTTATAAAGGTTCTCAGTACTCATCTTCCATTTTCCCTTTTATGGCTTAATCTCATTATTTTTTTCTCCATCTATGACTAGGAAGAATAATCAGTTGTTGCTCTCTTTTGTGATCTCTTACATAGCTATGTACGGTTAAGTCTTTGTTTCCCAGGACTAAGTATGACCCAGTGCTTTTAACCTTTTTGAATTCAGAATGTTTTGTTTCCCTCTCTCTACTTCATGCCTTCAGTCATTACCTTCTTATCTTTTTTGGGTATTTGCCTAAACCTCTCGTAGCAAGCTGGGATTTGAAACTCTGCATGACAGTCCAGGCAGGATGCACGGCTCTAATTCTCTTTCAGAAGTTTAGACTACAGCAAGTAGTCATGTCCTGCTCCTTGTATTTCCTTCATGCAGTTTTTATTCCTCTTTTTTTTTTTTTCCCATTAGTAACCTGTCTTTATGTGCTTATGTATTAGATGATTTGAGATGAACGTGGGGTTCTAGTTTGTGTTGAATCACAGAAAATACTTCCTTGGTGGTAAAAGGGCCTGAGCTTGTGTGTATTTCAGAGGCAAAAGCTTGGTTCGTAGAACAAGTTCTTGTACTGTGTTAAAACTAGTGTTGGAAAAATACTGGCTTTACTTTTCATGTTATAACACTGCAGCATTCCAGGAACCCTGCACCTGCCTACCATTGCAGCATTTGTGAGAATATATTAATAATGGAAGTATTTAACATTTAGCATTTGCACGTTCAAAGTATTTTACTGGCTTTTTCTAATTAACTCCAATGGAGACCTAAGTGGGCTGACTAGACTGGAGCAATTACTTTAATTGTGTTAAATACGGTCGTCCTCTGAATGCAGAGCTGTGGTGCAATGTGCCTTTGTGCAGCAGTGTCTGTCAGTGTTGCACTGACTGTTCATCTCCTGGTTGGTTGTGTGAAGTTTCCCTGTTCCATGTTAGCAGAAAGCAGTCGGCACACAGCAGTTGAATGTCTGGCCTCATCTTCCTGACTGCTGATTTCCCTTCGTTTATACTAATTGGCACTTTGTGCTAATTTACTTTGTGTGTATGCGTGTATATACATAGTTATCTTTCTGTAAAGATACACAATATCACTGCTGTTTTGGGCTGAATCAAGTAGACATCCTGTTTGTCTAAGAAGCAAATTTAGATGAGCTTAGAGATGAGTGAAATGTTTAGAAGAAATTAGAGCATTCAGAATTAGCACTGTAGCAGTTGTGTGTTCCTTGGTGAGTGCAGGTTGCTTAGCTTTCCTCACTTCACAAAAATTTCACCAATTTTCCACAAAGAAACAGAGCCCATTAACAGTCAACAGTATTTTCATGCATTGTTACCTAAGGGTTGAACTTGCTTGAAATGTGTAACTCACAGTTTGGAAGCTGCAAATAGTTGTGGGAAATGCCACGAATACATGATTTTATGGGTTTCCTTGTGTGTATTTGATAAGTGTTATCAAATAACTGATAAATAGTGTTGCACCGCAGATTCGGAAGTGTGCATGTATTGCATTTAAACTTTTGCTGTTTACATTTGAGCTAAAGCATTTTAACTGTTTTACAGTGCTTCAGGAGACAGAGTAGGTTAGTACCAAGTGACTGTCAGCTGCCCTGTCGATTGAAACCCTAATGGCAAGTGCAGCTTTGAGATGAGCAGTTCACTCTTCAGAGACACAGTCAGCATTTGTCCTGTATCTGTCCTCACACGAATTTGGAGAAGGGCTCCGAGCCAAATCCTCGTAATGGTAGATGTTTTGAGATAATGGTAAGGTTAAGACATGAACATGTTCTGAGTACTTTCTTGTGTGAGTCCATATTGCATGGCACAATGAAATGAACATAGCTTGAGAGGTGTTTGGTGTTCGAATCGCATTGATCCCTCGAACATGTAGCAGATTTATTCTTTCCTCTTGCAGCAGAGATAAGGGATGGGGACTCTTCTCTCATCTAATTGGGCGTGTA